CGCCCGAAGGGAAGGCACAGAGCTGGGCCAGGGCTCCCCGGAGCGCCGGGGCCGCGGAGCCGAGCGCGCCAAGCACCCTGCAGCCGACCCGTTCGTAGCATCCCTCCGTGTCTCCGTGCTGCTGGTTCACAGTGATCCCCGGGGCCGGGGAAGGCACCAGGCCTGGGGCGCTGCCCCCCAGCCCTCCCTGCATCCTGCTGTGGGGTCTGTGCCAGTGCAGCCCCTGCGCTCCCGCGCAGCCGCCCCAGGTCCCTGCGCGGCTGCAGGGAAGAGCAGAAACGGTGCAGGACACCCCAGATCTGCCGCACACACCCGTCCCCCCCAACATGGGAGAGCAAGACTGGAGCCCAGCGAACCCTCCGGGCTAGACTAGAGCAGGGAGGAGCTGGAAGGGCCAGGCCTCACCCCTGCTCCACACTGCAGAGCCTGCCCCTGCCCATACAGTTCCCAGAGAGGCTCCCCCCTGAACCCTGGCACCCTCCTTTCTATCTGAACAACGTAATAAAGAGTCCTGTGTCAAGCACACTTGAGTCCAGACAGTTTTGGGGACCAACGTGGCCTGGGTATAGGTGGGGAACAGGGCCTGGGACCTTCCCCCTGCTTTGGGAACCTGCTCCACTCCTCGGGCCGGGCTCCAGGGACCCAAGGGCAGCAGGGCAAGGCCTCAGGGCAGAGTCTGGGAAGCAGCAGGAGCGAGGGTTGCCTCAGCATCCCAGAATTCCCGGGAGAGAGCTGCGAGGCTGAGGGGTGCTGGACAGGCTGCCCTCTTGCCCACAGGTGCCAGGGCCCATGTTGCCCTATTAAGTTTCTTGCTGAGCAGTGGCTGCTGCCCAGAGGGGTAGAATGGGGCTTTGGCCCTGGTCCTGCCCAATATAAGCCCCAGGGCCCAGTCCAACCTGGCCAGGGGCTCCCTGTTTGCCCCACACACCAGGAGCCCAGGAGACATTTCCAGGGGAAAAGAGAGCTCGCTGGATAAGGACGCAATGGATACCCAGCCCTAAGGGAGAGGCTTAACAAGGAGCAAAAAACAGAGCTATGCAAGACTCACATCACCCCAGCTCCACCTTTGAAGGGGAGAACACAACGCAGCCCTAAGAAGCAGGATTAAAAGGAGTTGGGAGATTCCTTTTATACAGCCACATATTTTACAGCTCATATACATATATGCCTATTCACACACATACATCTCTGCGGAGGGACTGCAGGGTGCTCACTGCGGGGCACCGTCCTTGCCTGTGGGGCAGCCCCCTTCGTGCACGGGCACGGGGGGCCCCTGGCCCTCCCGCTGCAGCTCGTGCAGGAGGACGGGGCCCGCGCTGGGCTCCTTGCCCACACCCTGGCTCACGTCGCCGGCGCCGCGCTCGGGGTGGTGCCGCTGGATGTGCTTGATCACCTGGAACTTCTGCTTGGCCTTGTAGGGGCAGTAGCGGCAGAAGAAGGGGTGCTCGTTGGTGTGCGTGAGGTGGTGGTGGCGCAGGCCGGCGGCCCAGCGGAACGCGCGCCCGCAGGCGCCGCACACGTAGGGCTTCTCCTCGCTGTGCTTCTTGAGGTGCGTCTTGAGCAGGAAGCGCGTCTTGAAGGCCTTGCCGCACTGCTCGCACATGAAGGCGCGCGCCTCGCGGTGCCGCGTCTCCCGGTGCACGCGCAGCGCGTCCGCCCGGTTCGTGCGGTACTCGCACTCGTCGCAGCCGTACGGCTTCAGGCCTGCGGCGACAGCACGGGGCTGCCACCGCGCGGCAGGGACGGCGCCCTGGCACGGCACCCAGCCCCGCTGCTCCCCTCAAGGGGTGCCCAAGGATCCCCCCTTTCCAAGGGACGCTGTGCTCCGGGGGTCTGTATCATCCAGCCTTCCCCAACCCAAGGGCTGCAGCTCCAGGAAATGAGGCAGGACGTGCTGCCCTGATGGGGGTCTCGCCACTGCTTCCCCCTCCTCCAGCTCCCCAGCCCCGGGGGGAGCCCAGGGGTGCCACCCACACTGTGCCATAGCCCTGCTCAGCTCCACCAGCCACTCACCCGTGTGCTTCGTCATGTGGTACTTGAGCTGATTCACCCACTTGCACTTGTAGCCGCACTCTGGGCACAGGTATTTCCGTTCCTCCTTGTGGATCCGCATGTGGTACTGGGCACAGGGATGCCAAGGACACGGTCAAGGCCAGACTGCGGGGCAGCCTCATGCACATAACCAACCCCACTGCCCCAGCTTGGCTCCATAGGGTGTCCTCTAGGAACCCTCCCCTCTGCTCAGGATGAGGCCGTGTTATCCCTCCTGGGAATACATTGGGCTCTTGGATCCTTGGGAAGGGCTCCCAGCTCTGCCCGACCTCTCGAACTGCAAGGGGCAAGAAGGGAAATCAGGCAGCCTGACAGGCTACTGAGAGATCCACAGTGGGGTCAGGACAAGACCTTGATACTCCCAAGATGGCTCTGTGCAGCACACGGAGAGCCCGGGCTCCTCTCCCTGTTTGGGTATTCAGGGCAGAGCCCAGGCTGGAGAGCAGCCCCCGCTGCAGCCTCTGCCTCCGGCCGCTCCCCAGCGCAGAGCTCCAGGGCGGCCTCTCCCCGGCAGCCCCACAGGGCTGCGCCTCAGCCTGACCATTACAAAAAGTCAATACTCCCTTCCGCAAAACAGACCATTTTCCTTTCCATTAGCTCACACCCGGCTCCCTTGTTCCAGAGGAGATTCTTTGCCATGTGATAAGACAATCACCTACAGAGTGGAGCAGATGCAGCCTCAGGTCCGCAGCGCGGCGCTGCCTTGCAGCAGGGTGGCCAAGGCCCTCTGCGCTCCTCCTGTGCCACGTCTAGGCTGCCCCACAGGGTGCACCGTGACCCCTGGGCAGCCTCGTGGTGCCAGGCTGCCCCATGACACGGCCGCTTGCCCCCAGGGGACACTACTGGAGATGCTAGCAGGAAGGGGACTGAACTCGCACAGGGGCCAATATTGTTGCCTTGCTACGAACCCCCTTTCCCCAGAACTTTGAAGGGAAACATGTTAACACCCACACACATCTTTTCCGCTTGCTTCCTATTCCTGCACTAACCCCAGGGAAGAGAGGAGAGAAGGAAAACTTCCCCCGAAAGTTTTTTCCTCCCCA